CATTTGACAGGAGGGGAAGGGAATGGAACTGTAGGAAGGCAGCAGCTGTTCTTCTGCAATCTAAGAATTATCCCCAGTTCATCTCCCAGACTGGTGCCTTCCAATTGTAGTTTTGAACTGCAGTTTCTACCTGCCTGAGCTAGTATGATCAGCCCTGGACAAAGCGAGAATTAGTGTCTTCCTTTAACAGGCTCCTTCCTCTTCCAGCCCTGCCTTACCACCCAGTGGAAACAACTCTTTCAGAGACGCAGTTGATTGGAACTTTATCAACATGGATAATAGCTTGGTGATGGTAGTTGTAGTCCAAAACATCTGGAGGACACCATGTTGGGGAAGACTAGCTTAAGATATTAGGTGGCTGTGATTGTATGGGTCATCTGTTCCAGCTGCTGGGCTAACCTTTAACTCCTTTTTGGTCATCTTTGAATCCATTGTTGCCTGAATGCCTGGCTTCAAATGTTATGTCCAGTACTGAACATGGTGATTCTATGTTTGGTTCACCAGTGCTGAATAAATTGAAACTATTAACATCCTGAATTTTGAAAAGGGCATTACTATTGCTGCAGCTATATGTGGCATTCTTCACCTGAGCTCCAACACTTTGTTAGCTGTCCACTATAATGTCAAAATCTGTATTACTCTCCCACCAGCCATATTTCTTTCCACATTCTACTTTCTAGACTTGCTTCTTTTTACTGGAAAAAAGCCTTTTCAGATGATGGGGAAGAGTGGCTTTTAAATAAGAGCTTTACTAGGGGTCAAAGTAGTAGTTGCCACTGGTCCAAGGTTCCCCATGAATATCTGAAACCTAGTGTGGATGGATGGGATTTGTCCGGCAGTAACTGCAGGATCTAAACTGGACACAAGGGCGACCACGTGCAGAATGTACTGCACTAGTCTTAACTTACCAGCTTACTAGTATGTGCCTCACAATGGCTAGGCTATCCCTCTCCAGCGGTGAGACAGTTAGCGTAGCAGCTGAAACTGGAAATGGGTAGTCCCTGCCTCTGAGGTTGCCCGGTAGTATAATACCAAAAATGGATCCAGACTGTGTACCTGTTGCTTAAGACAGAGCGCAACCCCTCCCAAAACAAGTGAACCAGTTCCCAGACCTGCCCATTGACAGGGTCACCACCTTGTCAGGCTTTGGCTTCAGTTTATTGGACCGCACGCAGCACGTATCTGCATCCTGTATTGCTTTAGAACCTGTGCAGCCTCTCGCATTGCAGCTTACAGAAGGCTAGAGTCTTGCCCCAGATCTCCTAATGACCATTCCCAGCAGTTTCATATAAATAGTATTGGGGACAGAATAGTGCCCCGTGGCCTCACACAGTACAACTGCGGATGTTGTTCTCTAAATCAACCTCATAGGAGTAGAACCATTATAAGAAGCTGCCTCCAAGTTCCAGCTCTCAGATCCAGTCCAGGGGGAGAAAGCATGTTGTACATTACACAGATGTAAGTGTGCACCTCCTCAGGCTTCTAAAACTTAAATTTGATCCCACAACATAGGAAAAGATAATGCACTAGATAATGAGTTGCACTGGACACCTCATTGGAATTACTGTATTCTCGAAATATTTGGCACAGCTTTCACAGTTGGTCTCTGGGAGATCTGACACTGAATTCACTGAAGTAGGTAAGAGGACCCCCTGAACTCCGGTAAGAGCTTAGCTGGACAATTACTTGTGGATGCGAAGGAAAGCTGCAAAGTAAGTTGTCTTCACTGCTTTTGTAACCCCACAGTAGGTGCAATTATCTTGTGTGGTTGATTCACCTTCATGGTGAGTCTTAGGGCATTTGTGTTCCAGTTGTCTTCTGGGCCGTGTCATTGTCATAAGTTCCTTGAGAAACCAGGGGATCATTTGAATTCTGCAGTGTTGAAGGGGCTTCCCAAGTGGCCACTCAGTGCCATGATTCCATAGTGCCTCAAGGGCCTTAATGTACTGGAAAATATGATTATTGGTTACTGGAATATCCCCCAGAGCATTTAGGAATCCCTTGGAGTCCATAAGTCTCCAAGGACAGGCCATCAAAATTACCCCCTTACAAACTTCATTAGGAAGTAATTTGACCATGGCAATGAGTTGACTTCCAACCTCACAACTTAAGACAAAAGCCACATAGAGGATACGCTCTGCCCTCTGTGTTAGACAGCCCCATGAAGGCATGAAGTCCCAGGCTGGGCCTCTTCAGGCAGCCTTAGCTTAGAAATTGTAACCCTCAGGACAGAAGTCATATACTTTCCCAGAACCACATCTAAGAGTGCCTCAACTAGTTCAGCCAGGGAAGTCCTTGCTATTGGTTTAGTTAGCCATTTATTTATCTTCCCACCTTTTCTTCCTATAAGGAAGCCAAGGTGGTTTACATGGTGTACCTCCCCCATTTCATCCTCACAACAACCTGTGATGTAGGTTAAACTGAGACTCCTTGATTGGCCTAAAGTTACTAAGTTTCATGACTCTAGAACTCAGATCTCTTGAGTCCCTCTCTAACCATTGCACAACACACCAGTAGCTTCCCAGTGTCTCTTTAGCTCAACTCAAGGTAAAGAGTCTTATCGCCTGTCCCAGATTGAAGGTGTTTTCCTGGAGTTTCTGTCCATCTTACTTCTCCCTCTCTGCCTCTCCCAGCCTGGCTTGTTGCTGCTCCAAGTATCACATGGTCTTGAAAACAAGGTGGCTGAAGCTAGTTGCAAGACCATGAGAAAACCACAGCCATATTCCGTGTAGTTCTCCAAACTAAAATGTGTGCTAGGTTTGATAGGAGGTGAGTGATTGACTGCTGCCTCCATAGAAACAGAGCCATGATTGAGGAAAACTTGGCTGTGGGTGCAGTTTGCTTTTAGTTAATAGTGAAAAAGCGGGCTGTCTTGTAGAAGTGGTTTAAAAAAGGAAGCAACCATGCAGACTGTCCAGTTTTGATTTTACTAATTTTGACTCCTTTAATGTGAATTTATAATTTCAATTTTGTGAACTGAAACTGTGCTTGTTGCTCTAAACTGGAGGGAGAGACTGAACAATATAACAAGAGTCTGACAATCCATTCTTTAAGCAGAATAATAGCTGGAATTCTTCATGATTAGAAATACAGTATCAACATAATCGATTTAACAACATTACATTGTAGCTGAAAATAGACTGAAATCCCAAGCCAGGCATCTACTGTGTCTGAGTGAAACATCTTTCATATGGTTCTAAGATGAAATTACCCCTGAATGAATAGCATCTTCATTTATCTTCAAAGCCTCCTCTGTGCTTCCAGTGAGTCTACTCTTCCCACATTTTGCAGCAGGAATTACATTATACCATTATAGTAGCATTCCAGTGCAGTGTAAAATAGATTGTTTTGGAAAATGAAGCTGGCTTTGCAATAAATTACATTTACAGGTACAAAAGAATTTGTTACTTTGTTTAAAGTAGTCACAAATACAATTAAATGCTTAATTTATGTTAAACTACAAATGTGACTATTACCATAACTGGATTAGGAATATAATCTGTCACTCCAAGAATGATACTGAGCAGTTTTCATTTATAACTTCAGACAGATTTTTAAATACACAGGATCTGCCACTGTTTGATAGGAAAGCTGGAATATTTTGAACATTGGTTCATAATTTGTTCATTTGTTCATAATTTCCATGCATGCTTCCTCACCCTTCCCCCACAGTTAAATTGGAGAATAATTCTTCAGTTCTCATCACAGCTTTCTCTTTGAATTTATTGTTTAAATGAAAGAAACATCCCCTTTTCTTCTATGTGTTTTCACAATGGTACTTTCAGAAGCTGTGTTTAAAATATTACTCATTGTGATATTGTGTAAACTGATTTTGATTTATTTGCAACAATAATATGCAGCACTCAAAAAAAGTCTTAGTAACTCAATTCAATGCAGTATTGCTAAAAATAAATGAAGTTAGAATCTCCCCCTCCATGTTTAGGGACCCCTCCCCCTTCAACATGTCCATCAACATGTTTGATGGGAGAATGTTCACAACAGTTCTTGCATGTATTCATCTACTGTGTACCTGTGGACCAGGGCAAAACGTTTAACAGGATCATACTACCTTCACTTCACTTTACTGCTCTAGCTTGTGATCCACAGGACAGCAACTAAGTTCTCCCGATGTTTTTGCTTACAGTTCCCAGCTTTCCTGGCTGTTGGCAGGGCCTGGTGGGAGCTGAAGCCCAAAACATCTGGAAGGTGCTTGGTTGGATAAGGCTGAGTTAGACTGTAGTCAGATCATGTTGGGAGTCATGATTCCTCCTCCAAGCATTCAAAAGCCACAGACCATTTTCCTTGCAAAGCATTTATTTACCCAAAAGAACAAGGCATCCAGAATGAATCTTAATTAAAAGCTTTTGTATGCCATCCTATTATACAAGATCTCAGGACTTGTATAATCTTGCCATGGCTCATCCACTCTAGCCCCCTTCCCATTCTGTTTCACATGTGGATTTGGATTCTTTTGTAGTCCAGCCAGCAGGCCTTCAGAACAAATGCTCAAAGTGCCATCCTTTTCCCTCCCAACATCTCAGCTGTAGAGCGCAGGGGGATCACACATGTATGACAGCTTTCAGTGCTGTCCCTAGAGCCACCCCCTAGAGCTCTGCAGTGTATATCAGAGCAAGGAAGTTTGCGTCTTTTTCTGCTTTATACGTTTAAATGTAAAATGGCTCTGCAGTTTGATTTGAGTGGAAGTGAATGAGAAAGCAGTAAGCAAAAGTAAATAGAAGCTCTTTTTGCATGTGGTAGAGAGACGATGTCTTGGAGAGGAAAGGTATCTGATTGAAGTAATCAAACAATATACATGTTTTTCTCCCATTTGCCACATTGAATGCTTAATTTGCAGCAGCATCTAAAACAGTGAGATTCTGATTAGCAAAACAGTAAGCATCATAGTGTTAAGTGTTTTGGCAAACAGCTTTTCAAAATCTTCCAGAGCTTAAACTGTTTGCAGATAATTAGTGTGACTTTTATTTATTCTGTATTTGCAGGCCTTTTTGCAAATGTGCAATCTGCCAGTCCAGGTGGTTTGTAGGGCAAATGCAGAATATATGTCCCCATCTGGTAAGTGTAACAGTCATTTACATTACACCTGTGTTTGGAAACTATGGCAACA